GAAAGAGTGATGAATAGCCAAACGAGAGGGATGGATAAAGAAAAGTCAAGTTACAAGAGGAATGAAGAAAAAATATTATGCTCCCTAAAAGCCTAAAGTACATGCTACAGTTTCAGGACATGCATCAAAAGTTTAGTTCCGAAAAATCTCTACCACTTGTTTTTCTAGCAGTTTCCACCATCACGTTCATGCTTGGCAATTTTAGTTGTGATGGATGAGTAATGGACCAAGAGACATCAATGAAAAGATGAATCTCCAGGCAAACACCTACAGATCTTTGTCCATCTCCTAGAGCTTTAGGGTCTTTTTGTTAGGAGACAGGGACAGGGGTGTGATTTAGGTGGGTGGATGAGGTCTGGATGCAGATTAAATAAGGAAAAGATTGGAAGGGTCTCTTCTATCTTTGCCTACTTATAATTTTCAATCCTCCCAATATGAGTAGATGCAAATTAGCTTCCATCCTTTCCCTCGTTAGCCAAATAAACTTAATAGACAGGTTAATATCGATCCTTTCTCCCATCCACACTTCCTTCCTGGTAAACATCCCCTTAGTTTTTGTTCATGGGATGACGAGAAGGGGTTGCTCCCTCCCTAACCCCTCCAAATCCCAAGTGTGAGTGGGATGACGAGAAGCAGCAATACCAACCTCATTAATAATTAATTGGAAAGGCAGGGCTATCATCAGCCATTGTAGCTCTAATTATCCAAAACCTAAACGAACAGACCAGAATCCTTCTACAGCTATTTTCTTTTCGGATCTATGCTCTCAAAATACGAAGCCTCAATTCCAATTGTATTGTATTTCAGAAAATTACAAAAAATAAAAATTACACAATAATAAGCAACGGAATTAAAAAAGAGATCGATAGTTGTTACTAACTCTGATGAGAAGGATGGGGAGAGCGGTCAATGGCCTGGAGCTCTCTGGCAGGCAAGCATGGAAGCAAAGCCGCCTCTAAAGCCATCACACACCCAATCATGTCTTCTCTTGCTGCTCCCTGTTGTTGCTGCTGCTGCAGCTGCGATGGAGATTGTAGCTGCTGCTGCTGATCTACGGCTTGTCTATCACCCATTTTCAATTACTCCCCTCCTCCCTACATGAAAGAAATCCCTCAACTCAACATGCAATTACTTCACTGCTTCCAATACCTTTTTTGCTCATTGGGCGTGTCTTTTATTCTGTTAGTTAGACGACTTCTCGTCTAAGACGCCTTTCAAAATTCGCTCTTTTTTAAAATTCGAAAACGAAACCCCTCACCCGACCACCATCCAGTACTCCTCTATTACTATTTTTTTCATAAATTGCGAGTCGCTCTTTTTTTTCAATATTTTTTATCCGGAAAATGCTTAGGATATTTAAATCCTTTTACTAAAACCTTTTTTAAAATGACGTGGCATTCATTATTAAAAAAAAAAAAGACAACAATATAGATTTTTTACAAATAAAATCACTAATCTTAATTTAAATTTTTATTATTCAATATCTTTTCTAATCAAAACTCAATATTACAATCTCCTAAATAACTTATATATATATATTAAAAATACATACTAAATAAAAATAATAAATAATAAAAACTCTCAATCAAATAGAGAAAATCTAAATTAATTTAAAAAATATGACAAATCTCTAACAGTAATTTCTAAAACATATTCATTTTCAATCTTATATTACTATAAAATTTTAATCTCATAAAAACCACACGATATCTATAATCATTTTGAAAAATATCAGGATTATATCAATTAATTTAATATATTAACTAATAAATTATCAATATTGCCACATCATTTAATAAAACAATTTTAGTAAAAAAAAAAAAATAGGTATCTCAAACATTTGGTTCTTATAACCGGTAGTAATATTGAGCCTACCAACTAGTTTATGAATGTTCCATAGGAGATCGGAGTGGTTTAGACACACAGGTGGACTAGTATTTAGCATGCAATTTTAGCAGAATTGGATATGTCAACGGATGATAACAGGAAACCCAGCAGTAGCAGAGCCAACGGCAGCGATGTACGAGTAATATCAGCTCCTCAGAAATAGCAGAGCTATCAACAGAAGAAGCGACAATAAACCTTGATTTGTATTCTGACAAGTTGAATTTGAAAGATGCCTCTGAATAAGATAGAAAATGATCGTGTCACGATGATTTCTTGAAATTGGATGTCGTCCGTCCGTCCACAATTCAGATGAATAATTAAGGGAAAGCGCCAAGAGAATCCACTATACTCATCATGCGAAGATATCATTCCAATATTCCTTGGTATATGAATAAGCCCTCAAAAAGCAAAAGCAATCCAAATATGCTCGTCCATTGATAGTAGAAAGATTGAAACAGATGGTGTTACAAGCACACAGAGGTTCCTTGCGCTCCAACAACAAAGGGAAACGACATCATATATTTTCTCAAAGAGTAAAGGCTACACTAGTGAGAATCTTCAATGAGATTCAACAGGTTTGATAGCAGAACTTTGCATGAACCACATAACGTATGCGAATCTGATCTACGTCAAAAACTATGTACTCATTTCTCGGCCACGTACCCTGCATTCATTATTTTTATTAGTTTAAGAGTGAAAAATGGCTAGCATTTCATTGATTTTTGCAAGTTAATATGCCACAACTTGTGTAAAGAAACTGCATAAAAATATTAATTATCTAGGTGGTGACCAAGTGGGAAGAACTTGGAATTAAGAGATTTGTTTTCTTTGTGGTCTCCGATTTGAGTCCTTAATTGCTTATATGATGGTCACTGAAGGTTTATATTGTCGTTAACTTCAGGGCCCGTGGAATTAGTCATGATACACGAAAACTAGCCCGAATACCCATATTAATCTAAAAAAAAAAAATGCCTAAAAATACTGTATACATACATATACAAGTTCATGCCCATTTAGCGTGAAATGATATTATCTGGTCAGTCCACCTATCTTCTGTCCTAGAATGAATGGGGCACTTGTAAAAGGTAATGTGTTGTTAATGCTCCGAACATATGACACGCAACTAAACATTCTTTTGCATTGCTAGCCCTTCTACTTAACTTTTGATGAACTTCTTGTGGGTGAACGTCACAAAAGACCATGTGGACACAACAAACCTGCTCAGTTTTTGGGGAAATTGGACAGGATTCTAATGCACCCTACCTGGGAATAAGGCAGCTCTACTGGCTTTCCGAGTGGAACAAGAACACCGTCTTCCAGAACCTGAGCCTGTGAAGAGTCCGGGACAGTTCTGCCAGATGCTTTTACACTGCATGATACGATAGTAATGTTTTACTTGCAGAAAAAGAATCAACGGCTATCATTTCTGACATTTCTTTTTATTATTATTGAAGAAGAATAAATTAACATAACCACTGAATTCTCTTAGTTTTGATACATATAGCAATTTAAAAAGGGAAGATTCAATGGAGGGATTCCATTAACAAATCCCAATCTTTTATGCGTTGGAAATTGGTTTCTGAAGAACCATAGCCGTTACCTGCCATTGTCTAGTGGAAAACATGCACGGTGCTAAATCTAACGTCTCATATTGGATGCCACAGATTCCACTATAACATCACCTTACTTGATTATGGTCTACGATAGAAATCAACAACGAGACAATAGAGATGAAAGATGAATATAGAAGAACCTTAGCTTTCCCTTTGGCAACTTAGCTAGGCAGTTAAAAGATCCAAAATCAAGCATGTCACCCAGTGCAACCTGGAAGTGTACAGATGAAAAGCTGCTTAAAACCTTTTTATTTTTTTCCTAAAACAAATCACTAAACTTTAGAAGGAGCTGTGTAAAGCCTTTTGCATCCACCAACACATGTTCTTCTGCTTAATAACAAATTACTCTGCAGGATAAAAAACAAACCTCACATAAAACTAGCACAGCATCTGAGTTTATCCAGTTAGCTTGGCAATAAGGTGCACTTTTGGAAAACATATCAGCAAAATAAAGCCCGTTCCCAAGAGAATGGGTTGATGGTGCTTCTGGAGGAGCAACACGTAAACCTGGGGGATTTATGAAAGAGCCGTCAGATAATTTCTGCAAATTACTTTGTGACGTCTGGAACACCTAAACCTGGGGGATTTATGAAAGAGCTGTCAGATAATTTCTGTAAATTACTTTGTGACGTCTGGAACACCACTGCTAGCTATAAATGAAATAATCCTCATTCTGGCATCAAAGCCACTGGAAACTATTTCAAGCAGTTCTAATATACTCCGCACAATTTCCTTGTGATTATTGAAACTAACTATCCAACGTCAAAGAAAAGAATATAGAGGATATCTACATAGAATGAGTAAAGATGACCTTCAGACAAAATACCGGTCCAGTTTGTCAGCCGAGAACCATGCCACAAAAGCATTCTGTTTTTTGTTTGAGAGAACTGCATAAAGAGTTTGAAGTAACATTATACTCAAATGGTTTATCAACTATTGTTGAGAAGGAAAGAATGAAACAATGAGTTGTTTCTGAAAGATTAACCATGACCAGAGCTCTGAATTCTCACCTTTTTGAACCGTTCATTTTCACCTTCTCTTGAAGCTCTAAATATTTGAACAATATCGATTCTATAATGTGTTTCATCACTAGTGTTACGCATGTATTTTTCAATCTGCGGAATGGAAGGAACATGCTGGTTTAATTTAAAATGATGTGTCCTAATTGAAGATTTATTTTTCAGGTCAAATGAAGAATCCTTACAAATTGATATTCACAGAGTTAATTACCATAGAGAATTCCTTGGAACCAACGTCAAGTGGTACCAATTCACAACGAAGGCAGTGATATTTCGAATAGAGCGGATCTTCCTTGAAAATTAAGTCAGAACAGAAAATCAGAAAACTGCTGAAATGCAGCGAGCAGCATAATTTGACGATGAAAATGAGAAAACCATCAGAAATCAATACTTGGGTGTAGATATCATCCTTGATCAATGATGTAGCTATTTCAATTTCCCCTAGAGCTTCAACCTGCAGATACAACAAAAACTGCAAACATTAACTCGAAGTCTCCGTGAAACTATGCTTAAGATTTTTCTGCAAGTCTTAGCATTTCCTGTCCTTCTAATCAGGAAATTCACAGTGAAATAAATGAAAGTATAATATTATCTTTCTCTGAGATGAAATGAAGAAATAATAAAAGAATTGGATAAATTACATCCAATTTTCAAATGGAAAAAAGTCTTCAGTATAGAGTAAATGGTCATAAGAATTACCATTTCTAGCTTGCATTTCATTTTGTAATGGTTGTCAATGGTAAATTCACCTGACAAAGTCAACAGCTCCACATTAATGAATTGCAATGTTTTATCGTACCCAATTTAATAATATTTCTATGTTTCGGGGCGTTTTATGATTGTAAAGTCCCACAACAGCAACTCAAAAAACCGAGGGGGAGAGGGAGGTTACTCACGCATCTTATTAAAACCAAAGTCATGAGGTATTATTGTGTAGAATTCCCTGGAATGAAGGATGCAATAAAATTCAGAAATATGTAACAGAAATAGAAGGAGAAAAAAAGTCTGTTCTTGTCCTACAATAATGTTTTCATGTTGATATAGATATAGCATGCACAAAAGCTTAAAATTAGATTAGTAGCAAGTCTTTATAGTTATGTGCATGATAACCAACAAATCCTTACCCACTTAACTCCTCAAGCTTTTCTGTATCAGATTTGCCAATATTCTCACATATTCTCCTCAAGACATCATAGCCCTATATATGTTGACCTTGAATTAGTAGGCATCATAGGCAAAACAAAGACACTGAACTTATCATGCAGGCAAGAAGTATAACAGGAATGGCTCCTTGATGTTGAGAAATGTGCATGTGAGAAACCGGAGCATGTACCTTTAAGATTGTCGATTTGCTCAGCTTACCAAGGGGTAACTTTTCTGCATTGTACCCTGAAGGTAAACGCAACAGATCACATGATAGAAGTGATGATAATAGGCTAAAGATAAACTCAACGAGGTAAAGTCTTAAACCACAGCCATATCACAGACTTCTCATTTCCTTAATATTGCAATTAAAATCATCAGACATTCACTTTCTCTCGCTGAGCACAATGGCAGCATTTCTTTCTTTCTTTCGGACCCTTTACTGGCTAAACACACCCACATAACATATCCTGTACAATATTCCAGTTGCTAAATCGAATGCAGAAAAGCCACTAACCTAATTCCATCATCCGCTGCTTCATCATGCGAACATCACAGATAAGAGAGATAAAATTTGCAATTCGAGGATCAAGCCTTGTAACCTGTAGCTGCCTTTCAACAGTAAAAATAGGTTTCTCCTGAACCCCACAACAACAGTGCAGAATTAGGAGGAAATCTCGCTGCTGATTAAATTGGGAAGCAGAATACAACAAAATTGTATTGCTGTTGAACTGTAAAACATATTTACAAGGCTATGCCAAGATTTCATTCGATATTGGTTATGAGAGAAAATAAAAGGTTCTAATTTCTCTAGACCAACTCACCTCTGACGACTCTTTGTTCATGTCATGGTCTGTTTCCAACCAAGTATAGCACTTTGGGTGGCATATGAAATCTATCCGGTTGGGCCAACGGTTCTTTGTCTTGGCAAAAAATTTTGCTTCGAACTCCTGAATAGCACTGCCTCTTGATGTGTAAGGGCCTTGCAACTTGTCTTGACCTTTTATTCCTACTCTACCCCATCTAGTGTATACCATGAATTTGCTACAGTCATTAGATTCTGCAATTGTTTTACAATTTAAACCATTAAAAGATTAAATCAATGAAACAGAACCATTATTAAATTCGTGTAACTCAGTCAAACAAGCACCTAAAAACTAATCAAATTAAAAAAAAAATCTAACTAATAATAATTGCAACTGTTATAATTTACAAAAATCTACTGAACTTGAAGAGAGCAAGGACTGACCAAGAGCCTGAATCAGATAGAACTTGTTATTATTATTCCCAACATTTGTTTGATTCAACGTGGCATCATAGATACTATTCCCCTGCATGGAAAAGGATGAAGTTTTAAAAGGCTTATGCTTGTAAATCAACAGCAAGTTTCAGAAATTTAATTAGACGTTGCATATGAAAGTAGAATGTTCTTTACATGCTCTAGAACATGGTACCGTGTCTTTATATGATCAGGCAGATACTGATCCAGCCCGGCAGTGACCTTGTTGAAACTCGCAGTAACTTTCTCGTCCTTGTTGCTTGTTTCTTTTTCTTCGTCTTCTTCTTTGCCTGCCAAGTGCCAGCAAGACCAAACAGATTAATCCACTACATCTTATTATAAAATTTTCTTGAGTATAATTGGTCAGAAATTGCACAAAACTTCAGGTGTACCGTTCTTTGACTCTTTCTCTGACTCTGCACAGAGCCTGTCTAGTAGTTCTTTCTTTGACCCACTTGAAGAAAGGCCTCGAAGGATTGCTTGATCGCGTAGTTGGCGAGTTCCCATGTGGTGAAAATCTTCAATGGCCTTGATTTTCTCAGACACGATATTAGAACCGTCAAGTACTTGTGCTTCCCTTTGCCTCTTGTTGCCAAGTGATGAAGCATCATGACTAGTTGAGAATTTTAACGGCCTCTTGAGGCTGTTTGCCATTAGAAAAGCTTTAGATGGAGTGAGCGAGCTTTCGTGACTTTTAGAAGTGCAGTCGAGCAGTATTGAAAGGGGAGGGCATGGCCACGTTAAAAACAGGCACTGGCACTGTTTAGTTTTAGAGTTCTTCAACGGCTTCTCAGAAAAGCAAGACGCGCCCGTTTGCGAGTAGTATAATAAAATATGGAAGATAACACGGACCAATACATAACCCACTCATTTATTGCCACGTCAATGATAATTTGTTGAAATGATGAGGAATGATTTTATTAATTAATACAGTGATCTCTCTTGTCCTGAAGAGTTTCGCGCAAGATCGAAATCCAGGTTGCCTAACATGACCGTCGCTTGAAAGAGTTCTTCTCGTAAAAGACACCGTTTGGTATCATGTTTGAAATTGTCTTTCTTTGGTTTTTTCTTTTTTTTTGTTTTAGATTGTTTTTTATTTTATTATTATGTTGATATTAAAAATAATTTATTTAAAATAAAATAAATATTATTTTAATATATTATTTCAAGTAATTTAAAAAACGCATGTCTTTGGTGCATTTAAAAATAATAAGTTTTTTTACATATGAATCTTAAAATTTAAACTTGAGAAATTAAGCAAAATTCCTCAACAATCATACTACTCCATTACCATCAAATCCCCTGTACTGTACTGAATGTGGGTTTCTTCGGTCCATATAGAATGACCATGCTCTTTTAAGTGGTGTTTTTAAATTAAGATAGGATTGATTTTTTAATGAAAAATATATTAAAAAATTATTTTAAAAAATTATTTTTAATATATCAAAATAATTCAAAAATATAAAAAAAAAATCAAGTTTTTATAAAATATCATTTTCATTTTATCCATTCCAATTGCATGTGTGTGCATGTGTGTTTTCTTTTAAAAGTAAAATAAAAATAATGATCATTTATATGATCAGGAACTAGTTTTTTTCCCGTGTGGTGTTGCAAGACTGTCGGAAACTTATTTTTATTAAATTTCATAGTAATTGAAATAACTATTTATAGCAATTTCAATAATAAAAAATACATTTTCTAGTCAAAAATTATTTTTTTATTCATGTATTTTTTTAAAACTGAACATGTCTTTTTTTTAGTAGTAAGGTTTTTCAAATAAAAAATTATCCTAGTTTCAATTAAAAAAAAACAAAAAGAACTCATACCTTGGTATTTTTCCTTGGCTGTATGGAAAAATAAAAGAACAGTTGACTTAAAAAATTATATAAGAAATTAATAATAAAAAATACAAAATAAATATTTTATTTTCACTGAACTATTTTTTTCTAAAACATCATGCATGGTAGATTTATATATATATATATACACACACACAATTGCTAAAACAATTGCTACAGTTACCATAAAAAACCATATTCTTATTTGAAAGTTTTGGTATTGCTAGATAATTTTGTAAATATCATCTTAATAATTTTATTTAGATAATTCAAAAATACTAATTTTTTTAAAAAAAATAAAAGATGATTGGCCAAAACCTTGAAAAAAATTATTTAGATAATTTTGCATGGTTTTCTTTTAATTTTATTTTTTTGAAACGGGTGAATAACACATCGTGATGTTGTCATCCGGTTAGGATGATCGGAAAAATTATATTTAATTTTTTAAATTCTAAAAACCTAATTATGTTTGTTTTTATATTAAAAAAACAAAAAAACTTTAAAGCATTCTATAAACTTTAAATAGATCCATTTTTTTACCCTCAAACACCCTCTAACTGCTTTAAAAACAAGAAATAAACCATATTTATAATAAATTAATTGTTCCAATTTATTTTTTTCAACACATTTAAGGGTGAAAATAATAATAATTAAACTCTTTTTTATTCAAGATGAATCAATTAAGACTAGTATCAACTCCGAACTTTACATCTCTCTCTCATTTTATTTTGTAACTTTATCTTTATTATTTCAGCATTGGAACAATAAAACTGAAAATTGAAAAATAAAATTTAATATCCAAATATAAAATCTTAAAATAATAAAAACCAAATAATGCATTGCTGGAAATTTAAAGATCAAACTGAGGTTTTCCGCACCTTTGAATAGCAAAAAAATAAATAAATAAAGTTCGATGGTGGAAATGAAAAAAAAAAAAAAAGACTGCAGTACTCCTCAAAGCTCCAACAGTGTCGTCAATATTAGTTTGTGTCTTTGTGTTACCGTGTCTTAAAGTTAAAGCAACAATAAGCAACAGAGCGCAAAGAAAAGCAAATCATAACATTTAAAATAATGTCCACGTAAGTTATGAAATAACAAAAACGAAGTCAATGACTGCAATAAAACAAAAAAAAAAAAAAACTGCCGTTATTTGAACAATGCTGTCAACGGTAGCTTGTCTTGTGCTAGAAGGACATTTAGAAATGCACTGATAATTTAAAAACAATATTAATAAGTATATTAAAATAATATTTTTTAATTTATTTTTTTAATATCAAATTTAAAAAGAAATTAAGTTTTGTGATTTTTTATTTATTCTATATAAATTTAATCCCGATCATAAGACCTGATTTGTAGTTTTGACAAATTAACTTGATTTATGTGTTTTGATTTTTTTTTATTGAATTTTTTTTAATTTCACAATTTAGCAACTTATTTTTTATTTTTAAAAATTTATTATTTAATATTAAATTTTTAAAAATTAAGTTTTATAACTTTTTTAGCTTTCTTTTCATGTAATTGTCATGATTTCACGTATTTATTGTTTTTTAACATTTAATATGTTAGAAATGGATCTTTAAAAAAAATTAATTATTTTTTTATGTTTTTTCAAATTCACCATTTAATATTAAATTTTTAAAAATTAAGTTTCATAACTTTTTTCAGCTTATTTTTCATGTAATTGTCATGATTTCATGTATTTATTATTTTTTTAACATTTAATATATTACAAATAGATCTTCAAAAAAAATTATTTACATTTTATTAAGTTATTATAGTATTCCAATCTAGATTATGAATTAGGTAAGTTAACCTGGATTATTGGAGGATGTTGTTTGGTTTTTTTATTAATTTAATATATTTTCAATTTTAAGTTAGATTAGTTTAATTTTATGTTGGAATAGTTTATTTTTATTAGATTATTATAGTCTTTTGATCTAAATCATAAATTGAATAAGTTAATTTAAATTATTAAATATAATTATTTGGTTTTTTTTATCAATTTTATATTTTTACTTATCTTGTTCATTCTTATAGTTTTTTCACTGTAAAATATATTAGTATCATTTAATTTTATTTTAAATTAATTATTTTTTAGAATTTATAGCCTGATGTAAATCCAACATATATATATTTAAATAAAGCATGCCTCACTTTAAAATTAAGAAATTTACTTTTCATGTAGTTTAAAGTTTGAGTTTTATGGGTATGAGTAAAATGTATAAAATTAATTAAGATATATATAAATTAAAATAATCATAATGCTAGTAAAAAAACATTGTAGCGAGTCAGATGACCTTTATACGTTCATAATATTAATTAACAATATAATAAAATGTATTCATAATATTAATTAACAATATACTAAAATGCGTGGGAAAGGCACTGTAGCTTCCCCACACCTTTTAACAATAATTATTATTATTATCATGCTAATTATATTATAATATTTTTTTTGTTTTTTATGCCTTTATGAGTTTTTTTTGTTTTTTTCCTTTTAATAATTTTTTAAATTTAGTTTGTTAATGGATCTCGAGTTTCACGAACTAACCTGATTTGATGAATTTTATTTGTTTTTTTGTTTTTTTAATTAATTTTTTTTTATTTAATTTAGTTTGTTAATGTTAAATTTTTTTCTATTTAATTATCAAACTTTCATGATATATATCCCAAACTTGACAGGTTGACCCAATTAATTATGGGTTAACTCGTCAAATATTTTTCTATTTAGTTATCAAACTTTTATGACGTGAATCTAAGGTTTAACAGGTTAACATAGTTTGAAGAGTTAACCCAGTTAATTTAGATTTTTTTTTCGTTAATTATTTTCTTCTTGTTGTTTTTTTTGCATTGATCTATTTAATTATCATACTTTTATGACACGACCTTGCAGCCAAACCCACATCCAAGGCTTTCGAGTCTAGTGTTGCAACCAATTCACTTAAACTTGAGTCATGTAAGTTTAATATTATTATAAATATTACTTTTGAGTCAAGCGTTGCAGCTAGACCAAAGGCTCTTTGATATATATCTTTGCAAAAATACATAACACTCTTAGATCTTAGCATTTTTTTTAATTTTTTATGCATAAAAAAAATAACCCGTGATATATGTTTTTCTTTTTTTTCTTTTCAAGTCTTTTATTGTGGACTCATAGTGCAGTCCATAGTAAAAAAACTAATGCCTTTATTTTTTTTTGTCTTTTTGTCTTCTTCTTTTTTTTGTAATTATTCTTTTAATTTAGTTGCTTAATATTAAAATTTTTTTGTTTAATTATTATATTTTCATAACACGGATCACAGGTTTGACCAACTAACCTGATTAATTCAAATTGTTTTTCTTTTTTCTCGTTACTTTTGTTCTTCCGATTTTATCTTTTAATATTGTATGCAGTTTACGGTGAAAAGGCTGATGCCTTTAGTTTTTTTTCCTTTTATGTCTTTCATTGTGGACTGCACAGTACAATCCACGGTAAAAAGATTGATGCTTTTTTTCTTTTTAATTAACTTTTTTTTTAGTTTGTTGATATTAATTTTTTTCTATTTAATTATCAGACTTTCATGACATAGATCTCAAATTTGACGAGTTAACCCAGCTAATTCAGTTTTTTTTCTCCATGTTAGTTTTTATTCTTTGTTTTGTTATTTTTAATTAATCTATTTAAATATCATATTTTTATGACACAAGTTATATAACTTTATAGCCAGACTCATATCCAAGACTATTGGGTTTTTAGTATTGCACCTAAACCCATTTAAATTTGGGTTTTTCAAGTTTAATATTATTATAAATATTATTTTTAAATCCAATATTATAACCAAACCTAAAACTCTTAAATATATTTTTATAAAAAAATTAATATTTTTAATTTTTAATTTTTAATTTTTAATTTTTTTATATAAAAAATTAACCTATAGTACCACACAAATTTAACACACAAATTTAACTAGTTGATATTGAAAATGCTTGCTTTAATGTTTTTTATT